AAGAGGTAGCGCTGTCATCCGAGGCGAGAGAGGGAGCCGGAGAGAGCCGAGGAAGAGAGGGAGAGGGAGGGAGCGAGGGAACCCGGGCCAGAGAGGTGCGCAGACCGAGGGCCGAGGGGGAGGGGGAAGGTTCCGAGGGCAAGTCCAGAGTCACACCCGGGAGGGACAGGGCCACCGGGCGAAGACACAGATCCGGGAGTCCGCGGTGGGGCGACAGGGAGAGGCAGAGACAAAGGAGGGGAGAGACAGAGGGAGAGTCGGCGAAGAGGCGAACGGAGGAGGGGACGGGCGCAGAGAACTCCTGCGAGCGTGAGAGTGGAGCGAGACCGAGCGGGAGACCGAGTTCCACGGAGCAGACGGGGGGCGGGCACGGTGGGGACCGGGCGGAGGGACGGGTGGGAGGAGACCAGTGTCCTGGGAGAGAAAGGCAGAGCGCAGGGGCAGAGACAGGAGACGCCAGAGAAGCCCCTGAGGAAGCAGGTGCGGAGGATCAGACGGGGCGCAGGAGCAGACGCCCGAGGGGAGGCGTAAGAACCACACAGTCGCCCTCGGTGGGATCTCCGGTTGGGGGGATGTGGAGGACTTGGGCCAGAGGAGCCCCCCGCTGTCCGAGGTAACCGCAAGGTGTTTAAAGAAGCCCGGGAGAGAAGCATCAGACCGACTTTTAGAGGGACCAGGGAGAATAGGAAAGGGAGAGGCCAGGGGCACCCTGAGCCGCTGCAGAGGCGGTGGGAAGCCCTGAGGCAGGAGGAAGGCTTACAGCCTGGAGGACTGTGAGCTTGAAATTGGGGTGTAAGGGAGCAGAGGGCATCAACAGGCTGGAAAAGGGGGGAGCTGGACACCATGGTGGGGAGGAGCCGGAGGAGGAGGCAGAGCTGGAGGCCACGGTGCGTGCAGAGGAATCTGTACTGCTGGATCCCTAGCTGTGTCTTTAGCTCTGCGGGGTCCGGGGTTCTGAGCATGAACTGCAGGGGTAATTACCGAAGAGAAGTCCGCCCGCAGATGGCTGAGCTCAAGGTGACAAGTTGTAAAAGGAGCAACTCAGACGTGCAACCAGCCCTAGTTGTCAGGAGTGACCCTGGGCACAGGCAGAGGACAGAGTGGAAGAGTGCCAATAAGCCTGGCCTGGTGGTGCACACCTGGAACCCCAGCACTAGGGAGATGGAGGCAGGAGAATCAGGATCGATCCCTGTCTGAGGCCATCTGAGGCCGGCCAGGGCCACATAGTGAGTTCAAGGCCGGGCTGCCCTGCATAGTAAGCCGTGGTCTAAATAAATAAATCAAACTGCTTTAAAGGCGCTGAACTTTTAGTGCTGGACACCTCTCCGGGGAGCTGCTTCTTCAGGCTAATTTCTTCTCCATCCTGAGTCCCTAGAGGCCACTAGACAAACTGAAAATATTTGAGGGTCAGGGCTTGCTCATTTCTGGCACATACTGAGTAAGTGGAGGAGCTTCCTTGTTGGGCATCTCAGATTAAACAGAGAGGCACTGGTTTCCTCTCTGGAATCAGAGCTCAGTAAAATATCTTAGTGTTGGCTTGGAATAGGCTTAAAAACAAAGTGGAGGAGGGGAACTGGCGGGGAACCAGAGAGGAAACGGCGGTCCGGGTGTAAGGTGAGAAAGTTGGGTGCAGGTTAGAAAAGCTGATCTAGGAAGCTTTGACCATGTGACACATTCCTGCGGAGAACAGGAGCTTAGAAAGCCACAGAATGGAACGATAACAGTAGCAACAAAAAACCCAAAACTCAAGACAGATGGTTCCCTTCCTTGCTTTGGACCCAGATGTACGCATCTCAGAATTTCATTGAGTGTCTTTATCTCTAATATGGGGATCATATTACCTAACCTCAAATGGGTGTGAGGATTACGTACAAATCCATCAACAGAGGCCTTCATGGGCGTCTTCTCTTCCAGATGCTTCTCCTTTCCATCAGATCTCCCAAGAGTATTGATTGATTGCCTTCACTGCATAGTCTTTTTTTTTGTGTGTGTCTTTTTGACACAGGGTCTCACTATGCAGTTGAGGCTGGTCTTGAGCTCACTTTGTAGCCCAAGCTGGCCTCAAATTCACAGCGATCCTCCTGCCTCAGCCTCCACAAGTGCTGGGATTACAGGCGTATGCCACCACGCCCGGCCTGCTTCACTGTATGTTCTGTTTTGTTTTGTTTTGTTTTTGTACCGGAAATCGAACTCAGGACTTCGTGCTTGCCAGGCAGGGGCTTGTGCTGCTGAGCTGTATCCCCGGCCCTTCACTGCATATTCTGACGTGTCCTTTCCTCCGCAGAATTGCAAACACCTTGAGAGCAGAGGTGCTATCACCTCTGTCTGCTCCTTTAGGGCAGGTAGGCCATCCTTTATTGCCTATGAAACGTGTCTAGCGGCAGGTGCACAGAGAAACAAAATGCAAAGATACATAAGCTCAGGTCATTTTCTCAGGGAACCCATAGACCGGATGAGATCACAGGTAAACAGTACCAGCCCTCTGGGCCACAGTGCTTTCCTCTTGATGATAACCTAGGGTCTTTTCCTCCCCTAGGAGTTTTTCATTCAGTGAGTGACAATCATCCAGCCTAAACACCTGCACATTTCTTTCCAGTCTCCTGGTTTTCTCATCATCTCTGAACCTTTGCATCTTCTTTCTAGAACAACTGCCTGACTCAAGGTAAAACTCATGGTAGAGCACAAACTTGACATATGAAGTCCTGGGTTTGATCCCCAGCACTCCAACTCCCACTGCCCAATCTCTTGGCTAAATTTTTTTTTTTTTTTAAGACAGAGTCTTGCTGTATAGTTCAAACTGGCCTTAAATGCACGATGCAGCCCAGGCTGGCCTCAAACTTGCGGCAGTTCTCCTGCCTCAGCCTCCCAAGTGCTGGGATTACAGCCATGTAGTTTACTCTTTCCCTTGTACCTGAGCATAGATGAGCTTTTATTTTTATTTTTTTGGTACACGGGAATTGAACTCAGGACCTTGTGCTTGCCAGGCAGGTGCTTTAGATGTGATTTCAGATACACCATCCAGGAGTCCTTTCCTGACACTAGCTTTTTGATTAGAAGTAGGCTGCCTGGCTTCAAGTCCCTGCAACCTCCTCCTTTTGGTTGTGTGAGCTCAGACAAATTATTAAATCACTTTATACCTAAGAGTCTTCATTCATAAAACAGAGGTAAAAGATTGTACCCATTTCATGGGATTGTGAGGATTAAATTCCAACACACCATTTGTTTTGAATTGAACCCAGGGCTTTCCCACTGAACTACATCCCCACCCTTTTTATTTTTATTTTGAGATAAGGTCTTGCTAAGTCACTGAACTGCCCAGGCTAGTCTCAAACTGGAAATCTTCCTGCCTCAGCCTGTCAGAGTCCAGGCATGTGCATTGCCACAACCGGCTATGACACACCTTTCTAAATGCATTAGTCATAAGTCTCACTGCAATTTATAACCCTCACTAAGAGACCCAATACAGCAGGAAACTTTTCACCACAGTTTTTCTCTGCTGCTGTTTTTTTTTCTTTTTTTGTCTTTTTGAGACAGAGTCTCACTATGCACTACAGACTGGCCTTGAGCTCACTTTGTAGCCCAGGCTGGTCTCAAACTGAGCAAGGATGCTCCTGCCTCAGCCTCCCTAGTTCTGGGAATTACAGGCCTGCCCCACCACCCCCGGTTTTTCTCAGCTGCTTTGAATACAGAATGAACAAACAAGGTGTGGAGGTGCATTCTTGTAATCCGGGATGCTCAAGAGGCTGAGGCAGGATTGAAAGTTTGAAGCCAGACAGGTTACGCTTCCTGGGTTCCGTTCCAGTAGAGGGGCGGGGGAAGGGGCTTTCTTGGTAAGTGAACTAAGTCAGACACTGCGGGACTTTGCTAAGAGCACCTAGTCAGAGCTGGGTGGAGAAGAGAAAATTGTACTTTTGTGTCCATGAGGTGTTACCGTTGTCTGCCAAATGCCAGCGAGTTAAGACCAGGAACAGTTTGTGAGACAGGATTTCCCTCCGGCTTTCTCCGCACGGGTTCTAGGACTAAGGGCAACCCAATGGGTAGACAAGACTGCCATCTGGCGGTAAAAAAATCCCTACAGTAGGCTTTCCTCATACTTTGCGCCGCGTTTTTCATTTTGGATTTCTAGTCTGAGAAGCGTCCGGTGGTGATAGAACCCGGGACCTCGCGCATGCTAGGGACGCGCTCTGCCTCTGAGTTACATCCTCGGCCTGAAAAATTCCGGATCATAATGCAGCAAACCTCGTCCTTTCTTTGATCCCTTCTAGATTTTGTCTCCTGAGGTCCCTCTGCTCGGTCCTGTTGGGCTCCCCGGAGTTGCAGGAACTGACCCCGAGAAGGTTTGTTTTCGGAGCTTCAGGGCTCCAGCTGCCCCAGACCCAGACCCGGTTCCGAGGGTTTGACTTTACGGAAAACGGGCTTGACGCTAAGATCTTTACTCATCCCGGTGCGCGCGGTGGCTTGGGGTCCCGCCCACTGTCCTGGTCTCCCAGGCAACTGTCTCCCTGCCCAGGGCGCCCCTACCCGGCGTTACCCAGGCAACCTCCA